GGCGTCCCTCCTGGATGCAACGGGCAGGCGACCTCTCACTGCTTATGCATTCATCAAAGGCACTAAAAGGCGAGACGCCCCTAACGATGTAACACACTAGACTAGGGTTCTCAAACATAATTAAGTTATCGAAACGAACATTTATACGAAATAACGAAATGCGATAATTATAGATACATAAACTGTACCCACCTGGAACAGCGACAAGCACGAAAACGAGGCTTGAGTAAGTGGTGAGGTCAACATCTCAAAACACCTACACGAAATCAAGATAGCCTCTCGATTACAATCAAATCCAACGAACGCGAAAACTTAGTCGAAACTCGTCGACTAAGTGGCTCGTGGGAAGTTCTCGTGGAGTTATGGGACATTTGACTCGACTCGACATTAACTATGAGAAAACACATAATATAACATAGAAATTTCACCAAGTATCAGCCTCACCAATGAAGCATGTGATTTTATAAAATTCATACAAGTTTTTCAGCATAAATTAGCATGGATTTATTGACTGGGCAATTGAATGATTCAAGATCTCAAATTTATATAACAAATACTACATCATGCTAAGGACAACATATAAAATACCAAGCATAAACAATAAACATGTGAATTTTGAAAATAGGTTTTAGCATATAACATGGTTTGAACAGTTAATTATTTACCCTAGCAAATGATCCCCAAAGTTCATGAAAATTTAACACAAAGTAAACTTATAACTGGGAGCAACATATCAAAAAAAATTCAGTATATTTGGACAACCACACGAGGGCGTCGTGCGACTCTCGGCGTGAATGGCGGCAGCAGGTTCAGGTGACTTTGTTGCGGCGGCTCTGGGCTGTTACTGTTGACCGAGGGTGGTTGAAGAGAGAGGCTGCGCTCCGGGTTCACGAGGATGGCAGGACGGCGTTCTCCGCTGGTGGTTCACGACGGGTCTGCCATGGTGTTCGCGGGGACTAACATGGCGGAAGTGAGCCTCGCGGTGTAGCCGGCAGCGGGGGAGATTCTGGTGCACGACGGTGGTCGAACTTGCAGCGTTGTCGGTGGACGTCGCGCGCGTGGTGGCAGCAGGAATACCGACGATATGGCGAGTTTCTCCGGTGGAAACGAGAGAGAGATGGAGAAGTGAGAGTTGTTGATGGTGATGAGAGAAAAAGAAGAGATTCAGAGATTTATCTTCTTGCTTTCCTTCTGTGCGTGAGAGATAGAACTTTTTTTATGGGAGAATAAAGGGGATGTGAATTCTGATTTTTCGAACGTGGAGGAGAAGAGAGATTTAAGTGGGGATGGGGTAATTATTTGACCAATTAGTAGCAAATACAAAATCAAGTTGTAACTCCCCTCTCTTAAATCTAGATTAATGTGCATGAATGATGGGATAAAATATCACACAAATTTGATTTTTTTTTAAATTCAAATTGTGTTCTGCGCATGCATGAGAGTTCGGGCCATGCGGATGTAACAGTTGCGGCATTCAACCGGCCCGGTCTCTGCGCTCTGATTGAATATCCATTTTGCTCGACGCTCAATTAAAATCCGAATAAACACGTTGCTCAATGATCCAGTTAAATCGATAAATAATTCGACTCGATTTAATATTAATACACCGAAACAATTAAGCAATTACTATCACATAATCAAATAAAATACTAATCGAGCACGAATTAAATAATTTCAGACAAAATAAAATAAATAATAATCTCAAAAACAATCTTGAACAATGGGACGCTACAATATAAAAATTACATAAGTATAAAAAATTATACTGTAAAAGCTTTTCTTCAAAATTGTTTATTTAAAATCAATACTATCTTTTTCATCTCATTAATCGTTTTTTTAATATATAAATTAGCTAATTGATTTTAAAGGCATAGCCACACCCTTTAAAATCGCATAAATAATAATAATAATAACAATAATAATAATAATAATAATAATAATAATAATAATGTTCAATTTTATAGTGATTCATCTGTAATTAAATAGTTTTATACTGTTCGCTTTTACGAATGGCATTAAAAAATATGATTAAGTTCTAATTTTAATATTATATACATAAATAACTTTACAACAATTTATTTGCATTTGTGCATGTGAAGATCGATTACTAATACATATTAAGTGCATGTGGATAGAAGGAATTTAATTGCGACAGAAAGTAAATTTCAAATGCTTGCATCCTCACAGTTTTACAAGAGATCAACTCACAGGTACAGTTTGTGGCATACATTGTCTGTTACAGTTCTGTACAAGTAGTATACTTCGTGTTCATGGAAAGTTCAGTCCACATGGCCAACTGCAGTCACAAATTAAGGTGTTATGAACTTTGGACAATCCTTCAGTCAATACCCAAGCTTGAATATGGTTCAAATCCACCCTGAAAATTAAGAATAAAAGTTGGAGATTCTCCTTTGCAACAAAGCCAAACAGTACTGCCTCAGCGGGATATTTAGAAAGAATAACCCTTGGGGAACAGTTAAAGCCAAAAATTCATCAGGATTAGAAGGGCTAAAGAAAATTGAAATTCAGATAAAAGCTTACAGCACAATCATCATGAACACGCCATATAGTTTCACCCAACAGGTTTGCCACAGATAAGATTGTAAGTTGTGGAAAATAGTTCTGCTCTGCCACTGGAATGGTGTTTGTTATGATTACCTCTTGAAATAGTCCGCTTGACAGTCTCTCTACTGCAGGAGGACTGCAAGTTTGCAACCCAAGTTATGCAAAACTAAATTTATTAAAGGTAGGGGCCTATGATCAGGTACTTATTAATTGAGTAAATAACGCGTCATAGTGACTGAAGATGAGCAGAACAGAACTTTTTATCACACTGAAAAGAGGAGTTCAGCTACAGCTCCATCAATATATGGGTAAAAAATAACTTCACATTTGAAGTAGGTGGTAGAAATTACAAATGCTATAGCAGTGCACCATAATTTCAGTTCGAATTGAGCATTCTGGATCAAGTCAGAATACCCAATAACTTACTGGTGAAGCCCCTTGGTTGGAAAATGGATATTATCTAGTACTAGTAGTACCTGAAAACAGCATGAGTGCTGCAAGCATAAACCTCCCTAGCTCCTTCTTGATGTAATAGAGCAGCTCCTTTTGCAATGGTTCCTGCAAAAGATGCGCTATTGGCTTAATGTCTACTCGTGTGCATAATGAACAAGATTTGACATAAATGACACTAAATGAACAAGCCACTACGGAAGGCAGACACGTAATATTGAGTCTACAAACCCAAATCAATATCTTAGATCATAAAAGACCACAGAGTACTCAAAGGTGCAAATGGTAGTATATTACATCATAGTCTTGTCCATAATACTTTAACTACTGAGTTATGGTATCTTCACTAATCACTTAATTCCCAGAGGCGTCGTCCTTCAGTATAGATAATACTCCATTATACTCCATTAGGAATAAAATTTTAACATCTCAGAGCCGCAGCTTGAATTCTTATAATTATATTCTTTATTCATCTTATATCTTGCTTGAGCATGGTCTATTGAGTTACACTTTCTATTTGGTTCAACTAAATTGTTTATTAATTTCTGCAAACTGAAAAGGAAAAAGAGTTTTAGATCTTGAAAGATTTACAACCTGCAGTATCAATCATGTCATCCACCATCACGGCCACTTTTCCCCGAACATCACCAATCAAATTCATCACCTGCAATATTTGAACAAGATGCCAATTCTGTTAGTGTCTTAAAAGACTTAGGAAACAGGGACATGTAACACACAATCTTTAAAACTGAGGCCTAAATTGACGCTATATCTAGCTTCTTATGTTTGTACTAACAAAAAATTTACAGTTCATTCATTTCCCTCATCTTTCTGCAAATACGTAAGTGTAATCAATACACTCAAGAACCATCAGCATGAGGTTCACTAAGAAATGCATAGAATCTCAAAAGAATTGACCTCAGCAACATTGTGTCCTTGACGCCTTTTATCCACAATGGCCAGAGGAGCATCAGATAACTTTTTGGCAAAAGCTCTTGCTCTAGCAACCCCACCAACATCAGGTGAGACCACGACCAAATCATCTGTTCTGATTGTCTTGCTGGCTAGATAATCAAGTATGACGGGCTGCCAAAAAAGTCAATAATCATTGTAATACTTACATGAATTAACCAAGAACTTCATGTGATTTATAGAGATGCAATGTAATGAGAATGCCCTCTTTGTGGAAATAAGATTCCAATAAAAATTTCCAAATAAACAGATACTTTAATTGTATAATATGTTGCTTTACGATATACTTTAAATAGTTTAATAATTTTCTGGCTGAATGTTGTGCTAGCATGTTATTTTTATTAAAGCAAATGTTTAGAGGGTTCCTTTACCTGGCCATGCACATGGTCCACCGGAATGTCAAAATATCCCATGGATTGTCCAGAATGAAGGTCACACGCTAGAACCCTATCAGCTCCGGCTTCAGTAATCAAATTTGCCACGAGTTTGGCAGCAATCGATTCACGCCCTTGAGTCTGAATCAATACATATTGATAATGAGATCAAATAAGAAGAAAGCAAAACAATTCACTGTGATAAGCCACTTACACGTGGAAATAGAGTATTTATTATATTCATGCATATATATGAGTATGTGATGACTAGGCTGTCATCAACTCCATACTGTCTTTTGAGATTTTACCTTTCGATCAGCCCGGGCATATCCAAAATAAGGAATAACAGCAGTGATATTTTTAGCTGATGCCCGACGGCAAGCGTCAATCATTATCAAAAGCTCCATAAGATTCTCATTTGCTGGAGGACATGTAGGTTGCACAAGATACACATCACATCCTCGAACACTCTCTTGTAACTGAACATAAATTTCTCCATCAGCAAAACGTTTGATCTTAATCTTTCCAAGCTCCAGACCCATATAGCAAGCAATTTCCTGCATCATAAATCTCAATAAATAGCAGTAAAATGTATTAACAAATACATAAAAGGACATAAGGAAAGAAGGAGACTTGTCATAATGATAACATATATACCACATTGTGAAAAATAAAAGTGGAAACAAGTAACAACAATAAAAATTTGTCAAACCATTTTCCAACAGTAGATAATGATTCGAAAAATGGAAACGAGTTGAAGGATATGTAGGTAAACAATTCAAAAATGTCACGGTCATTGATTCTATGAAGAAATGAGGAGTACAATCTCAAACTCAAGTACAGATTCTCCATTTCAATGGCGGTTTTAGCTCCCTTACGTCTAAATGTGGCACTTTTAATAAGGAAAAAAAAAAAAATGGAAAGAATGGGATTCTGGGAAACCAATTCATCACATTCCTCTTTTGTACAACATGCGAATTACACCACAAATAAACATTCTGTATTTTTTGTTTACTATTAAATAATCCACCACAAATCGACATTCTATATAATTCTTCGTAAATGTAATAGAATATCAGAAAATGATTCCATAAAATAGCGATGCACCTCATAGTTATATTGATAATATATATAAATGTATATAATTTTTTTCTCTGATTGGTGGTTCAAATTCAAATAGAACCTTAATAAAATCCAGAACTGCAACATAGTATCACATAAGATAACCATTTTTTACCTACCAAATACTAGTATCAAAGATAGGAGGGAATCAAACTTCACACATGAAGCTCCAAACAAATTAGACCACAACAGCCATAGAGAGCACACCTGCACCTTTACTTTTCGGGAGAGATAGAGAAATTAGGCCAGGAGTAAATTGCCATAACATTTATGCTTTTATGTATTTGAAATGCACTTTAATGCACTTTAACTTCAGAAAGGCCGCTTAGACTTCCTATCAAATCAATGCAGCTGTAGAATAACTTATATTTATTTTAAAAAATAAAGGTTGTGGACGCTGCGCCGACCATTTTATGAATGCGCAAACAAATCTCACTAAAATTAATTTGCCATGTAAGCAAAAAAGTCCAATATCAAGCGGCAAAAGGAGGATGTAGTGACCTGAGATAGAGAAGGATTGGCAGTGCCGGAGAAAATGCGAAGCCGCGTATCACTTTTCAGAACTGGAGTTCCATCTAAGAAATGGGTGGGGGCCGTCAGGACGGTTGGGAAAGATACCGCCGCCGCGTGTCTGTTATAATCACGGCCAACAGTCATGGGTTTCCCGTTGTCCTTGCACTTGATTGACTCCGAAGAGTTGTTGCATCGCTGCAAAAGCCAACAATTTCACAACTACGCAATGACCACTACTTGGACACAGTTTAAGAAGGATGCTCACAATGAAGGACTTGGCATGAGCGCTTCTGTGAAGAACCGTTGGGCAGCTTCCGAATAAGGTGGGAGACGCCATTTTTCTCGCTAATCAACTCAGCCTTCTTTCAGGGGTTAGGGTTTTAGAGCTGATTCTACTTTTTCATTTATTTTTCTTGTTTCCTTAATTACTTCTCCCAGCTGCCACATAAAGACTAGTGAGGAGCTCATATTTTAAATATTTTTTTACTTTATTTTAAATATAACGTTGGATTTTTTTGATTTGGTTTAGTTAATTTTGAAAAAGATAGTAGGTATATATAATTTTTAAAATAAAATGTCTAAAATTGATTTGATATAAAAGTAGGAGAAAGATGATATGAAGTGATGGTTAGTAAAAATAATATGAGTCGATGAATAGTGGATTAAGGTTGATGTGGTGTGTATGAATGAATGATTTATATTGAACTTGAAATTTTGATTTTAGATTTAAATTAATACCAACCTATGATTGTTAATGTACATAAAATAATGGAAAGAATCTAAACTTTAAAGTAAAACTATTTGTTTTGTTTTTCTTTTACAAATCAAAATTATCTAATTATTTTAAGCACTTTCATATCCCGATTTAAATGTGTTGGTTAAATGGCTTTCACTTGGGCTCCTTCAAATTCAGCAAAAGAGATCAAACATACACAAATAATCAAGGCAAAAGAGCACACATACTCATGTTTTTATCTATCTGCAAGAACTCTATAGTTTGAGCATGCTTATAAAGTGGTTCTTAACTGAAATTTCACATCCCTATAGTTTGGGCATGCTCATGTTTTTCTCTTATGTCAATATTTACATAAAAATTTAAACTATAAACAGAGACATGAGAAACATACAATTATTTCTTGCTTGATGAAGCCAGAGTTTTTGCATCAGCTGGGTTGCAAATGGAAAGTTCTAAATCATATATTGTTATAAAAATTTTAAATCATTTTCAACATCTTTCTGACATGATAATGCATAAGTAAGAGCGGGATCATAATTACACCTATCTCGAATAACAAAGTTCTTTACAACTGCAAATACATCCAATACAACAACAATTTTAATCCCAAACTATGACAAAGATACCAAAAACTCTAATAAATACCAGCGACTCTAATACGTTTCGTTTCAGTTTAGAAACTATGACGAAGATACCAAAAACACGTACAAACAACATTACAATAACATTCAAATGACGAAGAAAAAAATCATACTAAAACATAGATCTATGCATGAGGCCAAAAAAATGTAGATATAAGCAAACAAAAGCAAATCTACATGTGGTTTTTGAACATTATGACTATGACTATGTACAAGTATTTTACACAAACATTCCATATAAAAGAAAAAAAGTAAAATAGATAAGTTATAATAGATAGATCTACAAATATTAGCTAGAAATTGAAGATCTAAACAAAGAAAAAAAATCATACACATTAGATCTATAAACTGAGAATTCTAGATCTACGCAAAGAAAACAAAAATTGTACATTGAAGTAAAAAAAAAAAAAACATATTCAACGAAAGGATGATAGAACTTAAATTCTTTCTTTAAAAACAAGACATTTTCAAATGAAAAGACACAAGATCTACATTTATTCGTTAATTAATTAAAAGATTTCAGTAATTCTGGATATCAGACACTGAATACATGTTCATTTTAAGCTAAAAATGTCAAAATAAAGTTAATCGGTTTTGATTTAATATATGAACTGAGGTTCAATCGATTGAATTGTGAAAAAACACGTAAGGCACGCACAACAGTTAAGAGTATATAATTCATTCAAAAATAAGTAGATAAAAACATATAAAATTCTAACTTCTTTTCTTACTTTTTCTTAAACGTGAACAATAATTTAAGGCATTAGATGAACAAATAAAATCCTGAATTGAACACATACTCAACAATTAATTCACCTAACAATGTTCAGCAAAATCGAATAAAAGAACTAAGGCTAAACATCAATCATGCATGTGTAAGAATATGTGGCCCGAAAGCATTGGGCTCACATTTAATTATCCTATTGGGTCAAACCTTATTTAATAGTCAAACAAATCTAAGCCATTAATCTGGCTATTTGATGGACGTACCAGATATAAAGACACCTATATATAAATTAGTCCTCTCTCCTCCTATTGGGGTACGCAGTTTTATCCCATCACTTTTCTGCTACGTTAAGAGAAGGTCAGGAGGGAGAAACTAATTTAGATCTCACAATCGATCAAGTCTCGTGTGATCATCAAGATCAAGATCACTAATTATGTCGTCTTCCGCATCAAGTAAGTATTTCGTATACACCAAATTATTTATTCAAGATCCTTAATAAGGTTTACATGTGGTATCAGAGCATGTGTTGTGAATAAATAATTGATGTATATTTTACGGTTGATTATGTGTTTGATCGAATTATCATTGATTATCTGATGATGATGAGCATGTGATTTATTCTAATCTGTCTTATGCGATAAGAACAATATAATGATTTTCTCTCGTTGTATTGAATTTGCCTCGATCCGAACCGTACTAAAGATGTATTGACTGAGCATATTTGATGTATAGTTTCTCGATTCACGAGGTTATAGCATAAGTGGGATAAGAATTAAAATCATTGTAAAATTCTTGTTCAGAGTTTTTGATTCATTTTGGAAACTAATTAAGTATTCAATTTTTCCACCTGTATGATATTTTAAGTTTCAATGTGGAATTTTTTATTATATTTGAACATGATTCATGATTTATGGATTAAAGTTTGAACATGAATTTTGTTGTTAATGACCACTGAAGCTCACGCATGGTTTAAGATTAAGCATCTTGTTCATGTTTGAATATCAGTTAATGGTTCTTATGATTCCATGATGCTATTATATGACATTAAGATAAAATTAATTTGTTAGTCACCAAAGTGACCTAATTAATTTTTAAGGATCGGTCATATAATTTTATTGTTATAATGTTCATTATATGACATTAAGATAAAATTAATTTGTTAGTCACCAAAGTGACCTAATTAATTTTTAATGTCCGGTCATATAATATTATTGTTACAACTGTTTATTATATGACATTAAGTGAAAATTAATTTGTTAGTCACCAAAGTGACCGGATTAATTTTATAATGTTTGGTCATATAATTTATGTTCTCTTGAGAATGTCATTATTATGGATTAATGAGTTTATTGGTTGTTAGAAATTATGGATTTACCCAAAGGTGAATCAATATTCTGTAACTAATAAACATTAAGGAAAAATATAATGTCCTTTGTCGAGCGTATGTAGATATCCAAAGATACTATGTATGTTAGGCGAAGTTTATTTAATTTCTCATTAAGTGTTAAATGACATTCGGCATATATATTGTTGTGTTTACCCAAAGGAGACCTGCAATAATTTTATGAATGATTTTCTGAATCTATTAATTAAGTGAGCTTTTATGATTGTGCAGCTATCTCTCTTCATTCGCAAGCTTCTTCTGTTACTGTCTTCAATGGTTTGAATTTCTCTGAATGACGTGAGCAAGTCAATTTCCACTTAGGTGTTTTGGATATTGACTTGGCTCTGCTTGAAGAAAAGCCTGCTGACAGTAATGATCAAAGCAGTGAGGCTGAGAAATCAAACCGTAAAGCTTGGGACAGGTCTAACAGATTATGTTTGAGCTTTATGCGAATGACGATTGCCAACAACATTAAGTCAACTCTTCCCGATAATGTGAATGCAAAAGCATATCTTTTGCTTGTGGAAGAGCGTTTTCGTTCCGCGGATAAGTCATTGGCAGACACTTATGGCTGAACTCACGACCAAAAAGTATGATGGGTCGCGAAGTATGCAGCAACATGTTCTTGACATGACTAATCTTGCAGCAAGGCTTAAGTCTCTGGGCATGATTGTTGATGACTCATTTCTGGTGCAATTTATGTTTAACTCGTTGCCTCCTGAATATGGGCCTTTTCAAATTAACTATAACAATATTAAGGATAAGTGAGATGTTAATGAATTGGCCAGTAAGCTTGTTCAGGAGGAGACGAGGCTCAAGGCACAAGGAGTTCATACAGTCAACCTTGTGAGTCATGGAGCGAATAATGTTCTCAAACCGAAATCCAACAAGTTTAAGAAAAAAATGACCTGCTAAAGTTTCACAGGTCACTAATGATGAAAAGAAGCAAAATCGGGCAAATAAATGTTATTTCTGTAGAAAAAAAGGTCACGTACAGAAAGATTGCCTAAAACGCAAGTCTTAGTTTGAATAGAAAGGTATTTCTAATATCTTTGTATGTTTCGAATCAAACTTGTCTGAAGTTCCTTCAAATACTTGGTGGTTGGATTCTGGTGCTACAACTCATGTTTCTAATGTGATGTAGGGATTTATTACAATCCAGAGCATAAACCCAAATGAGAACTTCTTGTTCATGGGGAACCGTATGAAGGCCCCAATTGAAGGAATAGGGACTTATCGTATTGTTTTAGATTCCGGGCACC